ATGGGGAACAGGTTGAGCATAGCAAAAGGTTAACTTTTTGATATTAATGCTACCATTAGGCTCCAGATGAATATAATTTATGATATAATGATGATTCATGAGATTCTCTTCTAACAGACATCCTAATCTGTTGCAATTGTTCACTTTCGTCTTTTTTTTTTTCTGATGGAGCTGCATACTTCGTTACTTCCTGTGCTTGGACTGGGAAGAAACATTCACATCTAAGAAATACATTTTGTCTGATCTCATTCCTGTATTATTTCAATCTGTACATGATTCATGCAGCATGCGAATAACCTCAATGCTGTGCAGGTGCTGATAATTCTGATAATCCTGTTTAGCTGTTCTTTAACCCGTTGCCCAGATATAACGCAAGAGATGAGGCATAGGGTGAATGGGTGAGGTGAAGGAAACATGCTCAAAAGAGGCGAGCTTCATTTGATCTGCCTTGGAAGATTTATCCCTGAATGCATCCCTGTTTTTTGGTCCATTGTGGAAAAAAAAAGAAAACTCCCTTTTGCATGGTTAAGTGATCTTTCTTTTGCCCATACAGAGTAAAAGGAAAGGGTCACTTAGCTGCTTCCTCCCTAGCAGCATGTACTTACCTTGCCTTGCTCTTACGTTGGCTCTGGCCTCCAAGATTGGGGAAGCTACGCCCTGTGTAAGCTCTAAATTGACTTGTTAGAGTTTACACAAGGATAAGAACTCCTTCCCTAGCCCATGTAACAGTGGTGGACCAATAAAGAGGCACCAGGGTGCTGTCCCATGGTAGAGGGCTTGGTATTTCACTTTGCTCCCCATGGCTCAATGTGAAAAGGGTAACTGCTAGGGAAAGAGGAAGTGACATGAACATGTTCCTATACCCTGCTTCGGCAAAGAAAGGGTCACTTTAAGTATTCCCTCACCACCCGAGTGCAACTCACCTGACAAAATACCTTATGGATATGGCTTAGCCATTGAAATGGATGTCCTCTAAGTGGGCTATAGACTTTAGATGGAATCTTTGTAGCAGTTATTCAATTAACAAGCATTCTGAGAAAACAATTACTGCCCAGACACTGAGGTAAGGATGGAAAAGGGTGTGGGTTTGGATGAGACCATTTTTCCCCTGAGTCCAGCACAAACCTTGCTTCCATCTTCGCCTTAGTATCTTGAAGATGTGACAGAGAGATAAACTCATGAATGTGCTACTTCTCCATTCACAGTCCAGGATACCCGACTTCAGAGCCATTAGGTTGAATGATGATGGCCCTCAGACTGGGGGCATCTTAGCAGCAGAAAAAATGACCGCACTTGTTATTTTTAATGGGTTATTCTTTTTTTTTCATCTTTTTTTGTCTGAACTGGAGTTCTGCTTTAAATGTATTCTTAAATGCAGCTTAAATGCCCAAGTTTGACTTGCTTTTTGACACTACTAGGAACTTATTCTTCAACAAGAATCACAAGTGGTTCGGGACAGCTGCGGCCACTCTGCACAATGCAGTGACAGGCTGACAGCAGCCGCAGCCGTTCGCCAGTGTTCAGATGTAATCGCTCACGGAGTACCCACAGTTGGGGACAGATGATCATCCTTGGACACAAGCAGTTTGCTGATTCTTGCTGCAGGAATCTCTTTTCCTCGTGTGAATGAGGCCTACATCTCTAGGACTAAAATGGCAAAGTATTTTGAGACTTCATGGCACCCTTTCTCAACCTTTTAACCCGGGAGGAACCTTTGCTAAAAAGTAATTGTAGCTACAGCTCTCAGTACATTAGAATTATCAGTAAGTGGTAAAAAAAATGCTTCATTAAAATATTAAGGAATGTGGCAGAGTATTTGACATTTGGGTTGGATCATATGATGACATCCCTCTGCCCAATAATGTTATTAATAATCATGAAATGCAACAATAATAATGGACTAATAATAAATGCAAACTGTAGGGTCCTCTTAGTGGGAAACAAACCCCCTTACAGTCAGTTGAACTAATGATCGCTGCTCAAATAAACTCTAGAGCGTTGGTTCTCAACTGGTGGGTCATGACCCAAAAGTGGTTCGCTACATGCCTTCCACTTTTCTAGGCGAGAGGCTTCCCTGTCTTCTCCTAGCGCAGCACGGTCAGTTCTCTCACCAAGCAGCTATTCAGAATATGCTGCCCGGCGCCAGGTGTCAGCGTGAGGCGGGATAGGATGGGGCTATAGCCGCAAAGGAACTCTTTCCATAGGTGCATTGCTTACAGCTCCCTCATGGTGTCCTGTAGGGGTGCCTAGACCAGAGTGACATCACATTCTGGCTCCCGGCAGCTCTACAGGGCGCACAAGGAAGCTGTACAAGCAATGAACATTTGGAGGGAGCTCCGTCACAGTACAGCAGCCCACATTGGACCCCAGGCTGAGGATCCACTCCAGTTCTCGTAAGGTAGGAAGACTGGGTGAAACCATGGAATCACACCTACTACGCGTTCTGGTGTGGGAGGTGCATTGCGATTCATTTGAATCGTTCCCCAAACACACCTCCCACCCACAGTTCCATCGCCCGTACCAGGACATACAGTACTGCAATGCCGTGCGTTCCATTGCAATGCGACTTGGGTCGCAACAATGACCAAGGACAAATGTGGGTCCTAAAGTTACACAGGTTGGGAACCACTGCTCTAGAGCAACCCTGGTTAAGAAAGGCTGCTCAGTAGAGATGAACTAAAATACTGGTAACATGTATGTGTATTTAACACGTTGTCACAATTATGGTAATTACAAAGTAACATACAAAAAACAGGGTCTTAAGCCCTGTTGCTCAACCTGCGGCCTTTTGGCACTTATTGCGTGTTCCTCAGAGCACAGCCCCGCCCAGACAGCCCCTGAAATTCTACGACACTCCTTAGAATTCCACTGTGCATCCACACAACAAATATCGGTGCTTCCAACACATTTATGGACCTGCTACAGGAGACTGGTACATGAATATGGCGCAAGCACTTCCAATTGCGGTACTGAGGCCAGAGTGTCCATATTGGATGCTTCATCTTCAGTGCAACCTACCACCTCTCATGGCCTCTGAACCTGTCACACAGAGGCTGAGGAGTTTTAGAAGTGTGTGGGCAGAGACTGAGGGGAAGCCGAGAGGCTAGATCCCCATCAGGTCCGATCCCCTTGTGATTGACAGCAGGCAGATTCCATAGCCAATAGACAGCCTGCCATTTGCTATAAAATGTAGCCACTGGCAACTGTAAATCTCTAGGAGACCAGACTAGATGGGAAACTAGCCGCTCAGCGACAGTTAGTGTCGGTAATAAGAACTACCTTAGTGTATTGCACATGTCGGAACTGCAACCAAACCTGACACTAAGCTTTCATGAATTAGGTGCAGGTTGTTTTAAAGGGATCATACACTTACTAAATTCCCTCAAGTATTCAGTGTTTTCTTCAGCTAGGTTCTTACTCGGGCCAGTGAAGGAAAATCTTTAGTCTGAGTTCTAGTAGCTAATTGGCTTGGTTTAGTTTTTTTTTTACACTATCTCACTTTTTCTGTGATTTCACCACTTTCCTCTTTTTGTTTTTTTCTGTGATCATTTATAATGTATGTGGAAGCACTGATTTGTGACCCTGCTAGGAAGACTTCACCTATTTATAACTGTGCAGTTGTCCCCAAAACAGGAGGTGAAGGAAAATGTTCTAATTGGAGAGCTGTTCCAGTGCCATACACTTTACAACCATCGCAAGACTTTTGTCTTGCGATGGTTGTAAGGTAATAAAAAAAAAAACGTAGGATCTGCCCATCTCGGACAGGCAGATGGTACTTGCGATCATCGCAAGCACACTCCGCTGAGGGGCGGGCTTCCGATGACTGCAATGCTGAAAGGGCAGTGTGCCCTTGCGCACACCGGCCCGTGCGGCATTTGTCTTACGAGCAGGCCACAAACCCGCCGAAAATAGTACGATTCTCGGCGGGTTTTCGAGCCAAAGACAAAAGACGTGCGACCGTACAGTAGAAACACGCCTTTCATACACCTGCCGATTATCGTACGATCGCGGGATTTCCCGCGCTTATCGTACGATAATCACCAGGTGTATGGGCACCTTTAGAGGGGATTTTTCTCACTTCTTGTTGTATTTCCAGGACAGGAAGTGAAGGTTAAAGCAGTACTCTGGGTACCCTCAGTCGCTCCACTGCAAAGGTCAAGCGCTCGTTTGTGTCTAGGTGCAAAAATAACAAAGTTATATTCACTCAGTCCCTGGAGCCTCTCTCCCCCTCTGCGGCAGTGGTCTAAGGTCCGTGAGTCAACATGTTCTATACACAGTGTATAGAACATGAGATCGCAGAGGGGCATTCCCCCTCCGCTGTAGTGTAGTTAACAGGCTGGAGGGAACGCTGTGACAGCCAGCCAGCTCCATGGTTCAGGTGAGTGTAACGTATTTATTTTTGCACCTAGACACAATTGAGCAATGGGGGTATCCCCACTGCAAGAGTTAAGAAAATGTTTTCCCAATGTTCTTCTTTAAACTGCTGGTGATTTTAACCCTTTCCTACTCAATCCAAAACTACTACTAATAATTCAATTGCTGAAGCAGTAAATGTTTCTAATGGGCCAGGTCTTGAAAAGTTGCACTAGGAGAAAGTGGAGGTTGCCCTCTCCTTCTAAAAATGCTAGCTGCCTGGCTGCTATTATGATCCAATGGCTTTTAATACTTTCCAAAGTAGCGTTTTGGAAGATTAAGAATTCTGATTAAACTTAAACTGTGCACACTCCTTCCAGGTCAGTCACTCAAAGTTAACTAGTATTTTTAGAAACGACAACTTACTGCTTATGCCATAGAAGCTGATTCAGGGTTTATGGCAACTCTCTCACACCTAAAGGGATGCAGTTCCTGCAGTACATTAAACAAGTTTGGGATTACGGATGTTTATGCATTTTGTACTGCTGTCTACAGAACCAAAGTATGTAGAAATGAAAAAAGAAGTGCATTTAGAGATATAAATAGGTCCAATAAACTAACAAAGTATCAGACATATACATTTTAGCAAACATTATATATTTCATCTTCTAAGCCTGTGGGGGAGATTTACATATCACATAGAACACTTCTTTCACGCTATTCCTGTACTATGTTCTTTAGTGATTATGATAAATATACAATTGCATTTGTACATCAGATGCATATCATTTACAAAAACAATTGCATATAATTAAGCAAGTTGAACATATTTTGTGTTGGCAGTCCACGTGCGACCCACTGTAAATCTCCGAGGTGGCTTTTCCCTTATCACTGTAATACTCACTTTGATAAAAAACGATTTATTTATGTGCTGCTATATATACACGGGGAGGTCTGTTTGGATTGTCAGTCTGATCTGCAGTCCAGCGCTGTTTACTGACACGGCAGAGTATCATGTACATTGCACAACTATTTTGTTTTCTGCTTTTTTGAAGCCTGGAACTGCTGGGTTTTGCTCTTGACAGACTTGAGCAGTAAAGAGAGGGATGGGTCTGTTCTTTTCACAGCAGATGTTCCTGCTTTTGGCACAGTTTCCAGTCCTGCCCCGGGTTTCTTCACCGTCTCTGTGTAGGCTTTCTGCTCTTGTTCTCTTCTTTTAGCTTTTTCTTCCAGAACGCGTTCCATTGCCTTAGTCTTCTTGAAGTTGGGATCAGAAGGATCCAAGTTGTATAGATGGGATGTGTACATGGCTTGGAATCTTGAATCATCAACATTAATCTGAAGAAAGAAAAGACAAATGTTATCAAATAATTCTGTGCAGGGTAGCACAGTTTCATATGGTGAAAAAAAAAAATAATTTGTAGTAAGGAGGCAGCAGGTTCTACAGGAGAATCCAAAACTTTCTTTTGACTTGGTATATATGCAAATACTTCCAAGGGAATGTCAAGGTATTTAGGATAAGAGCTATATATCGCTGCACTGGGTTAGGTGTTGGATACAGAACCTCAGCACAATTTGATGTGCCTAGAAAGCAGAGCCAAAATATAACCAGACTTACTCTAGAGCCACTCATTCTAAAATGTTCATCTGCTGTGAGATCTCCAAACATATCACCCCATGATAGTAACCCCTATCAGTTCACACAACCCACATCTCTTTACACTGATATCTCTTTGTATGTTAATAGCAGTGTAAGTGTAAACTACATTTTTACACGCAGAACAATTGTCCATGTCTTCTACATAGACATGATGGAGGAGATGCAAACCCCACTCACTGCATAACCCATACCCTACTCCATAGAAGCTTTGGTTTAAAGGAGAACTATGAGATGAGTGAGTTCCACTCACCTCATAGTTCTAGCCGACCTGTGACAATGAGACTGTCACAGGTCAGCTCAGTAGATCGGGAGGTGAGCGAACACATACCGGGTTCGCTCACCTCTCGATCCTGTCACGGCTCTCTGCCGTGACAGGGGGATTCCCCTCTCCCCGCTCCGATCTGCCAGCGATGACTGGCAGAACGGACGGGGGAGGGGGCGGGTACAGCTGGCTCTGCCTCTAGATAGGCAGAGCCAGCTGTCACTCACGCAGCTGGGCGGATCCCGACGTCCAGGTCGGGATCCGCTCCGGCTTCTCAGTATACCGCGAGCTGTAGCTCGCGGTATACTGAGCTTAGGGTAACGGGAGGACGCTAATTTGTGTCCTCTCGTTACCCTAAGGAGAACTATGGGGAAAAACACTGACCCCATAGTTCTCCTTTAAACATTTCTTGAACATGGCTTGGCCGTCTTGCAATGAGGGCTTACATTCCTGAAACAGCTGCATAAGAAACAGATTCATGGCTCTATTTTCTATGCTGGGATGGACAGCTCCAGTGTTTGAGAGCCAAGCTCTTCAAACAGTTGAAGATTTCTCTAATTAAACAACTTCTGATTAAATAAGAACAGTTTACTAGATAAAATGTTTTGTCTTTTCCAAAACCCTGGCCTGTATTTGGCCCACTGAGAATGGAAGTTGACTCGTCCTATTATAGACTACATCTACACTATAAAATAGCAGATCTCGATGTGTACTTGCCTACCGGTACATAAAGTATGATATTTATTGATCTGCCTGCTATCTTTATGGTAAGAAGAAATCTTTTTATGGATAGGTGATGGAACCAATAACATTCTTTTTTTAAAAGGCAATGCTATACTCTGCCTCATATTAAAGCAGGGTTCTTGGTGCCATTGGCTCACCTCATCATAACCCAACAGATCATACTTAATGTAAGTGTCCTCTAAAAGGAGGTCTATTTTTGGTTTTTCCATCTGATTGATGTTGGATTGAGAGGAGTCCCCCAGTCATGAATAGCAACATGCTGACATTGTTTAACGACATCTTTAAAACAAATAACTTTGTGGGAACTGAACACAGTGATCTCATGTATTATAATCAAAGATGTACCCACTGAGTTCCATGTCCCGAGTAAAATGCCTGCAGCTATAAGCCATTCTACAGTCATGGAACACTCTAGTGTTCCATTAGTAAAGGTCATCTCAGATCTAGGTTTAGGTTCCCAAGCAGATATTTCATATTTTAGCATATAAATGTTTAGTCAGTGCTTGAATCAACCATCCTACTGTTATAGGACATCCAACTAAATCCCAGCTCTGTCAATCTGCTATAGAAACTAGCCCTATGCCTATTGGGTATTACATGCATTTAAAACAAAACAAGACAGGTTGCCTCTCCTTGTGGAATACATTTATTGATGATAAAAATAAATATACATACAGGTCCTCACAATCTGGATTGTAAAGCATGTATTATATAACCTTGCTGAGTGCTTCTCTTGGTAGTTTTGCTGAGATGTCACCTCCAGCTCACAATGCAAAACATCTTACCAACGCCTTTGTGGGGCCACGCCTCCTTCATCAGAGCTTTGCTTTATTATATGATCCAGATTGTGAGTACCATCGGCATATTTATTTTTATCATCAATAAACATATTCCACGTGGGGAGGACGCCCTATTCCGTTTTGTTTTATTGTGCTGCAGATTTTCTCCATCTTAAACGTAAGAAGCCCATCTCCTGTTTGTAGCATTCGGATGAATATAAGAAGAATCCTTTTCTGATGATTAGCGCCGGAAGATTACAAGCATTTGCAATATGGAAGCATAGGAAAAGCAAGTATGTGGTGCTAGGGAAGGACACAATAAAAAAAAAAATTGTTTTGCTTTGCATGGGCAAAGCACAGGTTTGCTTTCCAGTTCTGTACCCTTACATAAACTTGTGTGTCTCAATCAAGCTGGCATGGGCAGATATTTGTTATATGTGTTTATTGGACATTTCTAAATGCATATAATGATTTATATTGATCACATTTAAACTCTGAGGGGAATTTATCAAAACTAGAGCAGACAGAATTTGGAGGAGTTGCCCAATACAACCAATCAGCTTCTCTCTTCAGTTTGCTCAGGTAAGATGTGAAAATGAGACAGGGAAGCTGATTGGTAGCAGTGCAAATCTGCTCCGGTTTTTGTCTTCTCCAGTTTTGATAAATTCCCCCATTGTGTTTAGGTGCGTTCAGTTTAGCTGCATTTAGACATAACAGAAATCTGTGCACTCAGGATCCAATTACAAACTCTAAACGTGGATAAATACGCATAAATGCATGTAAATGTGGCTAAACCTGCGTAAAGGCAAGTACATCTGAATGTAGGAGAACTTAATCTGGGAAGCAGAATGTTTGTTTTTCCTAAATACAGCAGTGCAGTCAATAGAATTGTAATAAAGAAACATCATTTTCCATTTACAAGCCCTTTCCCTGAAAATAAATGAAAGCCATCTTGGCAAGAAAAGCACTGATACAATCTGGGAAGAAAGAATAGAAACAAAATGATTACATTTCTTCAGGAAATAGGAAAATATCTACAAACTGTATTTTGTGGGCAGAGGGGAACAGAACTAAATTAGGCAATAGTTGGGTTGTATTCACTCTTTAGTGGAACACCATCATAAAAACTTGGGGTGGAAGGATCTTCTTCAAATGGCAACACTGGTCACACTGATGCATTTAACATATATATTGTATCTGCTTTTTGTTTTAAAGAAAAGGTAGAGAGACAGCAGAGAAAACACCACCTTTACAGTAAAGCTTCTAACCCTCAAAAATATATGCTTACACATTATGAAAACTTTGCATTATAATGCAAAAAGGTTTCCTAGAACATATTATCCCTTATTTACTTTTCATCCCCCTGTGCAGTTATCAGTCCTCTCAGAGCCACCAGTATAGCCACACTCCTGACCGTTTAGGACAGGGGTAGCCAAACTCTGGCCCTTCAGCTGTGGTGAAACTACAAATCCCATGATGCATCTCTCTCCGGGAGTCGTGGCTGTGAGAATCTTGCAACGCCTCATGGGGTTTGTAGTTCCACCACAGCTGGAGGGCCGGAGTTTGGCTACCCCTGATTTAGGATATAGATGTTTAGATAAGATGTAACACCAGATTTTACCAGCAGCTGGCCATTGAATATATATGTATGTAAAACTCAAGAGTAGCAGGAAGAGAGATCCCTATATGTTACTACACTAAAGGTGGCCATGCACATAGGCTGCCGGCTCCTATCGTAGGAACATTTTCTGTCCAGCTCCTTCGATCATCTGACCGAAGCAAACTAACCGAAAGGGTGCCGATAGCAGCACCCTCTCTCCGAATTTTGGGCGGTGCCTCAAAAAACGTCTGAAATCGGCACAGTGAAACTAGGAAAAAGGATTTCCAATTTAGTCGATTAGCGTTATAAAAGTGCTAAGAACTTGAAGAAACATGTACCATTTGTTGTGCAACTTCTTCATCTTCAACAGTCAGTAATGACAAGTAATATGCATGCACTGTATTTTAATAAGCTCGGAGTTTACTTTTTTTTTTTACAAGAACAGTGTTTATCAAAGCCTTGAAATTAATTGGGCTAATGTGCAAGCCACATGAGGCTGAAAATACAACTCTGGGTCCGAAGCCACAATGTTTTCACCCAGGACATTTCTCAAAATTGTGCTGGAGGCAAATACACCCATGTGAAGGCTCTCCAAAAAAATGACAACATAACATGCAAGTTATTCTGGGCAGTCCAACAGCTCCAGCGTAGCCAGTAACAGTTTACCACATTGTTCTAGAAATAGAATTTTTGCAGATCACCATGAAAGTGTAGTTGTATACACCATATGACAGATGGAGATGACAAAATACCTGAAAGTTGTCTTCCACTATTTCTTGCTTCTTCTTCAGCTTCTTCTTCTTGCTGCGGCTCAGATTCTGCTGCTCCACAATCTTATCATAGTTGAAATGTTTTCGGTCATCCTCCACATCGTCCATCATAAGCAGTGTCATCTGCGCCTGCAAGACACACAGAAAGCATGTAGCTCCACATCACAACTGCACAATGAAAGCATTGCAAACTGGTAACTTGAAGTGTTATATATACCAGTACAACATATAAAATGAAAAATACTAACAGCACACAAAGCCACCCACACCTCTGCCCAGAGCTATATCACCAACCTCGTCCTAAAATAACACCCAAACCATTCTCTTTGCTGTCTCTAAACCCTGCTACTCTCTAGCTTCATCATCACCACCTCCCTTGATTGCTTCTAGGACTTCTCCAGAGCCTCTCCCAACCTCTGGACCCTACCCCAATCCACCCTACTGTCTCTGACCTTTAGGTGATCCCTAAAAATTCATCTCTTCAGGGAAGCCTAACCTGCCTCTACCCAACAACCCAAATTTTACATTCTCCCTCAACTCATCCCCTCACAGCCATTACCTTGTGCATCCTTTGCCTCTCTCTTTTACACGAGCAGGGCCTCCTAAACCTCTTGTCTTCAACTGTTTTGTAGCTGTACTGTCTCCTTTTATATTGTTAACTGCTGGCGCTATATAAATTCTGTATACTATGCAATGAAATACTTGTAAACAATCCAAACTTCCTTTCATTATAAAAAAGGGCCCATTCTTTAAGGAAATTAAAAAGAGGGACATGCAGCTGTAGAGCTCCTTTGAGCCCCTTCAACCCTTAGTGGGTAAAGCTCAAGCAGTACAGAACACAGAAGCTGGAATGCTCTAGAGCACAGAGTGGCACTTCATGCCACCATTCTAAAGGAACGAAACTCCTAGTGCTCAGAGGATCAATTCTGTGCAGCACAGCACTTCTTAAAAGGCTGCCATTATTGGCCTCATTCTGAAAATACTGGCTGCCTGGCTCTCAATATGATCATCTGGCTATAATATTTTCTGAATTATTGACCAAGCACAAGTTACCAAATAAAAGGATTTAATCTAGAAGGCCAGAATGATAGCCAGGGAATTAGCATTTTCAGAGGGAGGTACGCAATGGCAGCCTCTGTATCTCTCATTAAAAGTTCCCTTTAATTCTGAGCTACCCATTTCAGTATGCACACCTACTAGTGACTACAACTCTGCCCTGCTGGTTAGAGTATGGGTTAGGACAGTACGCTTTCTAAACTGGCCACCAAAGTCCATGCAAGCAGAGATTTCCAGCTTGTGGTTTAAATGACTGGCCTTACTTCAGTGTCTTTCAGTTGTCGCTACTAGAACAAGGACAGTCCAAAAGAGAAAACGATGCTTTAACTGATTTCTTTCAGGCACTTATGGAGCGTGTCAACTGATATTACATACTGGAATGTTTCTGATCTGTAGGGCCCACCATGGAACGATGGGTAAATCCTGAGCCTTGCAGTGTACCTTCTGATCTTGGGAGAAGGATCTCTACTGACATCTGTTCCGCACTTTAGTAAATGAGGATCTACATCTAACAATTTTGTGGGAAACACCTCTGCAAGCCATGAGCATGTTTGCTGAATGTTATAAGCTATGCCACTTCTATCTTTGATTCTCTTTGCATTGTTTTTTTTTAAAAACTTGTTCAGTAGATTTCCAGTCATGCAACTGGAACAGTAACCTAATTAATGGAAAAACAAATATCAATAAAACACTTTTTAGTAGACTTAGACCTAATCAGAAATGTTTCTAGATTCCTTCAAACAAAATGTCAAGGCTGTCATTGTGGAGATTGCCCCCTCCTTTCTGTAATTTTATGAGGACAGGAAGTGAGGGTTACTCTCTACATAAAAGACAGACCACAAAAAGACCCCCCCCCAAAAAAAAGCTAAAGTTCCACTTTCACAGGAGAACCCGCTAAACCCTTATACTCACTTCCTGCCTTTCTTTTTCTTCCTCGTCTTCAGATGAATCCTGTTCATTCTTGCCATCTGTAAATTTCTTCTTCATACCTATGATATAGTTTAGAATAAAAGTTGTTGAGATTCACAGTTTAGTGCCATTTGTAATCACAAAAACATCAGTATATTGGCATCATTTTTAATGAAAGGCTTTTGAGATGCAATGCATACATCTAGATATACTCATGCTCCTCGGGTTTCCGATGGATCGGTTTACCATTTTTCATCTTTATCATGGTATATGACAGCAGCTGCAGGGCCCTCACTCTGTCACATGGTCACTATTACTGTATATATATCATGTACTGTATTCAGTATATCAAAGCCTAGCCTACCTTAAACTTGTCTTAAACACTAACAGTGACCTCCATATGGACAAAAGCCTACTGTATTTTATAATAAAGTAGCGATGTGTCTCAGGTATATAAAACTCCCCGGTTTGTGATACGATCGCCTTACGATGGGTTTATTTGAACATAACCACATCGTATACCGAGTCGTGTCTGTAGTCTCATAATTGACATAGGAATTTGTAGGCAGTTGGACATATACAGTAATTGGCAGTGGGGAGAGTGCTAAATAAATACGTAGGCTTTTGGTTACATAACTAGCACTAGAAGGAGCGCTGAAAGAATAGGTAGACTTTTGGTCAAATGATTGGCATTGAAGGAGCTTAGAGCAAAGTGTTCTCATTAAGTGTAATATTTTAGCCCTCCCAGTAAGTCATTTAAAAAAAAAAAATCTACCCCAGGAAGACCATTAACATAGCGATAAGTTAACACTGTAGTAGAAGTCCACTGTTAATTTGCCCAGAATGTCAAGATACACAGGACGCAATGCTTCGGCTTGAGAGGCCAATCACCAATCTCTAAACAGTGTCAATGAGGAGGAGGAGGATGTAAACTCTGTGTACACTCTAAAACCATCTAACACAAACTTGACTTAAAATTACCAGCTTTGATGGAGAAACATAAGGAAGGAGATGTTCTTACAAGTGAAAAGGGTGAAGAGTTTGGGGACGGCAGGAGAAGGGAACAATCTAGGACAACATAGCCGATTTGGAAACATTCTCCAATTCAGCTCACTTTCCAGTTCAGCTATGTTGTCCTGGATTGTTCACTTCTCCTGCCTTCTCCAAACTCTTCACCATTTTGTGAATAACCCTGGCAGTCTTTTTTATTAAAGTGGCAATCCAGTGGGAAATTCTATCCTTCAATAACAGGCCATTAAACATCAATAAGTCTTCTATGTGGTCCCAGCCTATACATCCATGTGTTTGTCATGATATCTCCTCATTGCCATCTCTTGACAGTATGTGGGAGGGCTGGGTTATCTTTATCCATCCCTGCCTTATCAGCAGAAATCAACAAAGCACCAAAGAACAATTTCCAACCCTCCTAATGACATTTTTGATAACAATAAAGTCTTACATTATCTGAGAGAATCATTTGCCCCACTGCAAAAACAAAAACACTTATCAAGTGAACATCCTAAAATATGACCATCTTTCTACATGTATGACTAGCTCCAGCACCTGCAGAAGCCTGCACGAAAACTAAATAAGGAGGTCATCAATGCTGACCTCATACTTTAACTGCTACTTGCCTGTCTGCCCCTGATATCAATACTTTCTGAAACTAGCATGCAGTGAGTGAGAAGGCCAAATTCCAAATCTGCATGACTTATCTGCTTAGTGACAGACATATTGTCATGACAGCCAGAAATTTCAAGAAAGGGGAGCGATTGTAGCTTCTCTCAGCAGACACATCCTTTAAGACATTTCAGGACTAACAGGTTGCGCCAATGCTTGGAGTACCTGGTTTCTTCAATTCCTCAGAAAAGTAAGGATCATTGAAATCAACATCAGATGGCATCTCATCCTCTTCATTTTTTTCTTCTGCACTTCCCTGCAAAATATGATGGAAGATACACAGTGTGAAAACAGAGGAAACTACAGCACGGTTTTAGTAAAAGGTGCAAAGGAAAACTACACAACTAAAACAGTAGGGTTAATATGCTACAGAGAACCTATTATGGCATAATGGAATTCAGATTTACGGTGGAGAACATACACCGATCTAAGATTACAACCCTTACATGTATGGAAGCCAGCATGCTTGTGTGACATCTGTGAAGAAACATCAACCCAGATCATGCAAACTAATATATTCAATGTGGTCTCACACAATTCTCCTGCTGAGTTACACAATGAGTGTGCAAAGATGTATCAAAACCATTCAGTCCTTAGGCTATGTTCACACCATGTCGGAACCAAATCTGGAGCAGATCTGCAAACGCAGTGCAGTGCTTTATTGCCACGTTCCAGTGAGGTTTTGTTTTTTAGCTTACCGTGGGCATTCAGGTGTACTCCAGTGCATTTGCATATGTTTTTTTATGCGTTTACATATGTTCCGAACCAGAGAAAATGAGACAAGCAGTATTTATTTTGCCTGGACCAGAACGGACTGCGCTGATGTGAACAGAGCCCAGAAATACCATAGGGATACATTGGGATGCTTTGTTGGTCCGGGAACAAACTGTTCTGGTCTGGACATGGTGCTGACATGGTGTGAACAAGCCCTAAAAGGTCCTTAGAGGCAAAGTAGCTCTTAGATTACAACCGTCTCTGCATAGATGGTAGTATTGATTTTAAAATGATTATGTAGCAATCTCATGTATATAGTTTAGGTTCAATTACTATATAGAGTCCACCTTTCTATTCTTTTATAGTTATGTAAACATATGCCATGTGTGACTTTTAATAAATCCAGGAGTGATATTTTAGTTTTGGTTGACAACCAACAAGTTAATCATCCTCAAATTACTGAACAGCAACAGCGGGGAGCATCATCATTCAATCTCAAGAAGAGCGTGCGAAAGAAAGAAATTCTTATAGCAGATCTTTCCCCAGGCTTTCTGGAGAATCATAAGAAGTTAGCAAGCACATCAAGAATCTACCGTCCACCGAATACTGGAATATCAAATTTCTCCTGTACGTAGCCTTTCATAATACTATTGTATGAATATGAATGCCAGCTCACAGCTGTCCCGTTAAGGCAGGCATCTCAGACTGTTTTAGGCTGCATGCAATCGTCTTAAAGTGGATGTCAAGATAAAAAAATATGCAAGTACAGAGATCTATTTATAAAGCAGTGAAAGTGACTTTTACCAAACATTCTCTGGTGGAGAATTGATCATTCATTTAAACAACATTGGACCTAGTAGATTCTCCAACAAAGAATATTTGCCAAACGTCACATTCACGGTTTTTATAAATAGACCCCGTAGTGTGCTCCTACCTTCCTATTGGACATTATGGTAAATTTAGTAGACCAAAAGAAGAAGAGTTCATTGTTAGGGTTACTTAATACTTCTATGCAGCCCTTCAGCAAGTTTTACAATTTATTTTGTCCTGAGTGTTTTACAGCTCATGAAGCCTACACTTCATCACATCATTTTGCAGGGATGCAAGTCTAGTAATTATTGTTGTTGCTGTCAAGGGGGCGTGGTGGATCTTTTGCAGCATTAAATAGAGACAGCAAACTGATCAGGCCAAACTAAAACGCAGACAGGAGGGTAATCAGACAGACAAAGCCAGGGTAGGGTCTTGACAAGCAAGATCAGGGCCGGCAGCAGGCAAAAGCAAGGTCAAAGAACAAGCCTTGGCCAGGGCAGGCAAAGACAAAATGCAAGGGACCTTTGAGCCAATAACAAAAAAGATGCTCCACTGGGCAGACACTGGCTGAATATTCTGAAGTCAATTTAAACACTTCTAAATAAGGTCAGATGTGAAGCTGCAATGCGACCACGCTGTAGTTCTGAGCCTCAGCCAGCAGGTGGTGTAGACTGATTAGTACAGCTGCAGTTATTTAACACATTTTCAGATTGTGGTAGGTGCAGCCGTCAGTAAATAGACACTAGTAGAGTTATTCTACTCCACTGAGCTCTTGATTTCACTTGAGTAGAATATGCCTGAAATAACAATTAGACACTTCAAATTGTATGAAGTAAAATTAACATTCTTTTCATAGCTGGCAGGAAGACATATCTCTAAAAAAAACAAAAAAGGCCAAATTCAAAATATACACTTAAAAGAGAACTATGGGGTAAGTATTTTTCCCCATAGTTCTCCTAAGGGTCACGGGAGGACATATACTAGGATCCTCCCGTGACCCAAAGCTCAGTATAAAAAGGGAGCTACAGCTCACGGTATACTGAGACCGCCGCAGCCGGGACAGATCCCGACAATGCTGTCGAGATCCACCCAGCTGCGTTAATGACAGCGGGCTCTGCCTATATAGAGGCAGGGCAAGCTGTGCCCGCCTCCTCCGTCATTCGTTCCTCCAGTCAGCGCTGGAGGATTGGAGCGGGGAGTCACGAGAAGTGAGCGAGCGACGGTATGTATTCGCTCACTTCTCAATCTATTGAGCCGACGTGTGACAGTTTAATTGTCACATGTCAACTCAAACTATGAGGTTGAATGATTTTCACTCACCTCATAGTTCTCCTTTAAGGACAGTTCCAAATCTGCATATGCTGAAAAACGTTCAGCATCTGTGATTCTCACATTTCTTTCTTAACTGAATGTTATTATAGGGGAATATTCATCATGCACAAGCTGTACATTTTTTCTACACTGTCAGGTAGACAGCCAACAAAACAACATAGGTTTAGTAAAGACCTGAAGTTGTCTGGTTTCTAGTCAACAAGTTTTACACAAATGTTCCCCACGTTTAGTTCAATAAGACGCATCTGTTCATATGGGGACCAGTAACATCGAATCCATTGTACCACCCACAATCGAAGAGTTAAATAACTCAGCCAAATGAAAATATTACACAGCGAAGATAGAAGTATGTACAAGGTAAACGCTGTGAGATTGGTGGGGATTGATACCATAATTGCAATCACATTTGATAGTTCAGGGAAAAGTAAAATAAATGATGAGGTCATCCAAAGCGATTGTGTAGGTTTTGTTGCGTGGCGCGTTCCTCTGCCTGCGTCCCTGCGTCGGCGTTCTGAGATTTTTCGATATGTTTGCAGGCACGAATGAGCTTTTCTGAGGCCTCTCCAACATTCCAAAACACAACGAAAACAAAGATCAAAGCCTGTGCACAGCTACAGAAGTAACAAGCTTATTTTTCTCTCTGTCACATATGTTTGTGATTGATGTGCAAGGCGAGCGCCAGGCCGACATTAAAACACGTGGCAGGCGGTGGAAATATACACTCTAGCAATATGGGTTATATCTTGTGCTGGATGAATCCCGGCCCTGGCAATTCATAGTAACCCTTCCCTAACAGAGCCAAGTGTCACAAAAACATTTTCAAAAGGACAAGTTTTTAATTTGCATCGCCAGATAGTAATATAAATGCAAGTGAATTCAGATATTGTGGAACAATGAGCAGTATAGTATTTCATGGTGGCACTATATTTTACCATATGCTGGAGTGAGGGCTTCAGTGGAAACGTTTGGGGGGTCAGGACCCTACCATTTTAATACACAGAAAGCTCCCAATCAAATAGTACATAAGCATTATTCTTAGAATTCCCCTTGTAAGATTTTAACCCCAAAAGAGTTTTAAATAATCGATTAAACTTTATAATTTTGTTTCTAAAGCACTATAACTTTGCTAATTCACCATTGAAAGTGTTTAAATGCCAACCTCATGGCTTTAGGACTTAATCCACAAACTGATGTAGTGAACCAGTCCACACCACTCCCTGAGGCTTCAGGGAACCAGTTTTCTTTAGTCAGTTCACCAGAAGAGGTATTCTCAAAACACGCCCTCCCTGCATGCATCTTACAGCTTCCCACATGCAATAGGCCTGATGATTCAAAGTATCAGTACTAAGATCCGGTCATGGATCTTGGTTAGAATTGCTCCACAGGGTTCCCCATACAAAAAGTAATGACTGTCACAAGATCTGGGCAATTTTGGTCACTATCTACAGGTTTAACATAACCTATAAGGGAACTATTGATTAACCATTCTCGGGGAAACAATCACTCTTTTGGATGGGGTTATCACAGGGACAGTGGCATGGCCAATAGCAGCCATATCTTCTGACTGCTATTAGATTCCAAGTGGTCCTATTTTAAAGGGCCCTTAAAATTACACTGCAATATGGTTTAGGTAAAAGAGGAATTAGAAACTTCTCCTTATTTACTAGATTATTACAACAAAACCTATTTTATGGAAGACATATTTGTGTTTTTTGTATTTTGAGTGTTGAACAAACAGTTGCTCCTGTGAGAAAATACAACCAGAAAGGCAATGGAAAGGTGGGCTTAAAGGAACCTAAAAGTTCTCCACCGAAATAGTGGGCAGTACAGTAAGGCCTACTTAGAGTAAATATCTATATCCCATTTCCATCACAAATCAAAAATGAGGGTTTAGTCATCATTTTAGCATAGAGGGTGCAGACAAGCAGATTTACAAGACCCCATCCATTATCCTAAAATGAGGATTAAGCCCTTATAGTTTGGATTTGTGATTGAAGTTTGACCTGCAGATACCTTCTGATTTTAGAAGACTCTACTATATTTCTAATTGAAAAATATAATATTTTATATACAAGTTTTAAATGGTATAATACTGTCTTATCAGCAGTTTTCTGATCGTCACTTGAGTCATGTTTGATACGTTTACTCCATCATCAACTATACATGTTATATCTCTACCGTCACATAGGGTGACTCAAAGCATTCTGGAAACAATTCTGGTGGAGTGTATATAGTCAGAAGCCTTGCACCAAATTTATGAAAACCCTGCTAACGTCATTGTTAGGATCTGCTTGAATTTGTAGCATACTATTTGCAGCACTTTTACCTAGGGATGCACCGATATATCGGCCGCCGAAACATATCGGCAGAAAATGGCACTTTTGGCTAAATGCAGAAAGTGCCATTTTCCTGCCGATGCATTGGCGCATCCCAGGTTTCTTTCCTCCCCGCTGAGCGCTGCTCTGTGTCCCAGCGGGGAGGAGAGAAAGTGACAGCCAGCAGAGCACTACGGGAGGAGAGCGCTGTGAGCGGCTGGTGTCTCTCCTCCCACACCGCTCAGTCTGGCAGAGCGGTGTGGGGACAGCGCTGTCACAGGAGGCTGAGCTCTCCTCCCTACTCTGCTCGCTCAGCCTCCTGTATTTTCAGGTTCGCCCTTACAATTTTTTTTTATTTTGGTTTTGAAATTTCTATTTCGGTGCACCTCCACTTTTCCCATATGGCACTATTGTTGCAAAAAAGTCCTAAAGAAATACTGCCATATCCGGGATAAGGAAAGTGGAGGGAAATAAGATATCTTCCACTGTGGAATAAATGGTTGTGTGACACGTGTAATTACTGCGTTGTATCTTTGAGACTATTGAGGCAGTTAGATGAGATGTGTAACGGAGCCAACTGTCTGCTCCCCCAACAACAACATGTATGGATTGTTTTCACTTTCAATAATCTGATAGAACATTTCAGTCTATGAATGTATTTGCAGTTATTTGATGTAAATCAGTTTGGAACTGATACATTACCAAGCCTTTAACTGCTGCTGTATTATTCAGCTCATTACTTTTCATCTGACTGTCCCTCTAAATAAGAGTGTCATAGATACTCTTTAGAAATTTGTCTCTCAGTTCTATGACAATTGGCTGACGTTGTGGCAGACTGATCCATATAACGGTAAGTTGTACAAGGGTCTGGCGCAACTCTGACAGAACTGTCGCAAGAATCTCTCATGCCAAGTGCGAAGTTGTACAAGAAGAGAAGCTATTTGGAGGAGTTGGGAGAGTAATGGAAGCAAATATCAGCACAAATATTAGTTCCAGAGGCAAGTAAAAAAAACAAAAAAAAAACAACAACACACAGAACTAGTTGCACTGCAGAGCTGAAATGGACCTTGAAGCTGTTGGATGCAGCTGTCATCACATTCTTATAATACAGCTATTAAAAAGGACGTCGGTGTAAACAAAACCTATAGGAAGGATCTCATAAATGTTGTCTCCACCTCCTCAGACTAGCCTTCTGTCAATGTGTTTGCTGTCTAAAAGGAGGCCAGCTAATCTGCCTACATCAAGGATGTTCTCTCAGTAACATGATAATCAGCTGTTCTGAGCACAGTAAATGGCTTGGTTCTCATGTTTATGAAAGAACCTCAAACAGATTGGACACCCCCTCCATTTCAGCCTTCTGTGGAAATTTCAGCATGGATGCCATCCTGTGAAGGGATGGGGGGGAGAGATAATAAACTGCTCTTCTGTCTAGGACAACATAAAACTTTTACTTTTTCCAATGGTTTTCTAAACCTTTTAAGTGTCATATAAAAAGAGCATTTATATAGTCAACCTCTTTTCTAGTTTTGAATTGAGCAGGGAACACACTCCAGCATTGCAAGACTCTGACAGCTTCCCACCTGACTCCCCGAGGCATGATAGCAATTGCAGTTTCACTACAGCTAGAGTGTCGAGGTTTTCTACCCCTGGGTTAGAATGTCAGTCCAGTTATTGCTGCCACCATTGAGGAGATTCTCACTCTCTGTCCCAAAGTACAGTAGTCACCAGGTCAGAAATGATTGGGAAATCCAAACTTTTACAACTGTGTGCTGTAGTGATGTAGCAGGTGTCGGGAGAACCCACATCGGGGGAGACGTTATCTGAAACAACTGAAGCACTGGATAGTAGCGGTGCCTGAAGGTCTTTGGGAGATCAAAGACCTAACACATTGTCCCCGCACAAAGGTAAGTATAAATCTTCTTTTCCAGGTGGATTTTTTACACAACAGAAACATTTATTTATAAAAAAAGGTTTTTATAAAGCGTCGACAATTTACGCAGCACTTTACATATTGTATATTCACATCAGACCCTCAAGGAGTTTACAGTCTAAGCTCCCTATCACACATGCATACATACACATACTGGGGCCAAGTAACCTATCAGCATATCATTGGAGTGTGGGAGGAAACACACGAAGCACAGGAGAACATGCAAACTTCATGCAGATAGTGTCCTGGTTGGAATGCAAACCAAAGACCCCAGAGCTGCAAGGCAGGAGTGCTAACCACTAAGCCACTGTGCTGCCACCGTGGTCGCTTTAACTGGAAAATGTACAATTTACATACAACTTCAGCTGCCTCTAGTATGTGTTAACCAGAGAAGGTGACCACACAGCAGCGCTTCAAAATGTTTTCAATGCTGCATAATGTGCCCAGTGGATGCACGATCCTAAAAAGTGTAAGATTACTAGATTGTAAGCTCTCACGAGCAGGGCCCTCCTATCTCCTGTACTGAAATTTCATTGTTAACTGTATTGTCTCCCTCAGTTGTGTAAAGCGCTGCGCAAACTGTTGGCACTATACCCTACGTTTGTAGGCAAATTAGCTATAATTTCGCGCTGAAGTTGCTAGAGGGCCAGACCATTATAAATAGGGAAGCAGGTTGTTTACCACGACAGTAGAAGTGATTTTTTTCTGAAGATATGGGTAAACAACGCGATTTAACAGCCTTTGAACGTGGGATGCTTGTTGGCGCTCGGAGCCATGGAGCGAGTATCAGCAAAACAGCAGAATTCAATGTTCAAGAGCAGCTGTTGTTAAAGTGTTTAAAGACTGGACTGTCAGCCAAAAATCTGGGTCTGAATGTGCGAATTGTCAATGTTAGGGCAGAACGGAGAGTGGCAAGACTGGTACAAGACAACAGAAGGGCAGTTACTGCAGATCTTAATCAGGGATCCTCTCAAATTATCTCTGAACGCACGGTTCGCCGTACACTGCATCGTATGGGATATGGAAGCCGAAGGCATGTTCGAACACCTTTGCTGTCTGCAGTTAACAAGATAAAACGTCTCCAATTCGCACAGGAACACAAGGATTGGACAGTCGAGCATTGGAAAAAAGTAATGTGGTCCGATGAATCACGTTTCCAGTTGCATCATGCAGATGGCAGAGTGAGAATTTGGCGGGAACAGCATGAAAGCATGCACCCCACATGCATGAGTACAACCCTTCAAGCTGGTGGGGGCAGTGTTATGGTTTGGGGCATGTTTTCCTGGCATGATTTGGGCCCTTTAATTCATGTGGAACAACGTCTGAATAGCACAACATACCAAAGTATCGTTGCTGATCAAGTTCATCCTATCATGTTGATGGCGTATCCCAATGGAGATGGCTTCTTCCAACAAGACAATGCGCCATGCCACGGTGCTCGTATTGTGCAGGAGTGGTTTCAAGAACATGAGGGAGACTTTACCTTGCTTAGGTGGCCCTCACAATCACCAGATCTCAATCCAATTGAGCATTTGTGGGACGAAGTTGAAAGAGCCATCAGGCAGCTGGTTCCACAACCATCAAATCTCACAGAACTGGACAGTGCAATTCATCAGGCATGGTGTCAGATTCCTCGCATCACCTTTCAACATCTCATGGAGTCAATGCAAAGAAGAATCGCCGCAGTATTGAAGGCAAAAAGTGGCCCAACAAAGTACTGATGGGGTGGTCATAATAATCTGGCCACTCAGTGTATAAAGCCGGTATAATAATAATAATAGTGCACTTATCCTGTAAATGTAATCTTGTGGCCCTCAGTTCTATTAGACTTAACAAACCTTTATATACATTTCTGATTGTTATTACTCTTTATCCATGCCCAAAGAAAGGCTGCAAAGCATTTAAAGGGTATCTATGGTCAAAAACTAAAATGTAATTTGGATTTTGATATTGAATTTCCATAAGTTCTTTCCCACTCCTAATGACCGTATCCATCTAGAAGTTTGTAAAGACTTACTCGTTGAAGATGCCCATAGGATGGACTGTACTCCTCAATGCACTGACATAATTTCACTCAGCCCGGTGAATATGCAATTAACGTCTCAATAATGTAATATTATCATTGCTTGCTGGAAGCAATGCATGATGGGATATGTAGTCTTGAGAAATCGAGATTGCATCACATCAAGCAGTAGGGAAAGAGATACAAAGCACACCGGAAATCCAGGAAGTTGTGGAATTTGATGGTCAGACAGAAGGCAGCACTTACTACATAAAAGGGATTGTTTCAAGCAAGTTTCGATTGCATTTTTAAAAACAACTCTAGTATGTATTCCTATTACCATGCTGCTGTTATAATAGGATAGTGTATGCTGGGACTTTACAACTCTAAGTGTTAGACCACCCAAACATGTTGTTTAGTTTGAGATGGAGTCTACTGGGCTGAAATAACTGCAGGTTTCTTATATCCATCGGGCACACTAATGGTGACATCTCTCTGGCCTATTTCCGGTTTCTAATCTGTTCTAATGACATTAGATTTTTGGGTGTTCCTCCTCCTGTATCCTGCGTGTAATCTAACAAATACAAATTGCAGCAGGGAGAGAGCGGTACATCCCCCTGTGATGGCTGCAACACTTTTGCAGACCTGGGATCATAAGAGCAAATGCCTTATTCCTCTCCTATGATGTTAAAATGGGTTCATACTCAGACTCTCCACTGAACTGTGCACCCTACATTAAGGAAGTGTGACACCATCATTTGGCCTATCATAGCTGTGGCAGTTGGGTAGAGCTGGGAATCCTGCTATGGACATCTCACCACTATCATTTACAAGGAGCCAGCACATTATTCACCAAGCAACTGCACAAATCTGAATTTCAGGTTCTGGAAATGCTGGCCCTCCATGTACTAAGAACCCAATACAGCAGTGTGTAATTACCTTTGTCTTCTTCTTCATTTTCCTTTTCTCTTTTTGTTTCTTCAGGTATTTTTCCCATGGAGTTAGAAAATCATTGCCCTCCAGTTTGTTTTTAACCATCTGTTCAGCACTTTCCTTGAGGCCTAGGGAAAAGCGGAAGCCAAATGTTAGCTTAGAGCCATAATAAACAAGTAAAATGCCAGTTCCTTCACTAACAAACACTGCCACCTACTGATTGTAACACTCCGTGGATAAGGTATCACTGCTGAGTAGCCAGGTAGCCAAGAGTGAAACAAGAAGCAAATTCCAGACAAACACATGTTCCTTCCCCAGCCTGTGACTGGACAATTAAGAAGAAGCAGCATAGTGATCATCTCATCCCTCGGTCACTCTGCTCTCTCCTCCCGTTAGCAAATGGCAAGCTCTGCCGTAGTAGAGCTTGCAGGAGGCTCATACCAAATCAAATTCAGTTACATAAACTGCTTGCATTTAAAAAATGAATGTAATAATGTATTATTGAATAAAGAGCTGTGTTAATTTGTGTCTTTTATATCGGTCTTGAGTTAGGGGAGCAGTCACGTTTTGTTGTATATAGGGTGATAATATAGGCAAACGAATTAGAAACATATAATATCCCATACCCGATTGTTACTATGGCTTTCTTTACACTTTCCCTGCACAATGAATTTAACAGTGAATCTGCCAGACATTTTAAACAGAAGGAAGGACAGTGTCAGCACCAATACAGGCCTGATTGGAGGATCTACAGCCGAGGAATACACAAATAAGATACATTTTGTTACTAGGATATGTAAATGCATTTTTAGTGTCACTTTAATGATTGGGCTTACGTCACAAGCTCAACATTTCATCTTTAGGCCAGGTGCACACCATTTTCTGGACCAGATCTGGAACGCAGTGCAATTTTGTTATTTTTGAAATGGGATTTCAGGTGCATTCCAGTGCGTTTGCATGCGATTGTATGCGTTCCAGACCAGACAAAATGAGACATGCAGTATTTCTTTTGTCTGGTCCGGAACAGACTGTGCTGATGGGGACAGAGCCCAGAAATACCATAGGGATACATTGGGATGTTTTTTGGTCCGGGAACAAACTGTTCTGGTCTGGACATGATCCGGACATGGTGTGAACAAGCCCCAAAGTGTAATATACAGTTGAAATACATATCCGTTTCACCTGCCAAAGACTTTTCATTTCTTTCTATTCTGTCCTGTCCTAAGATTTACACACCCCTGACAAACTGCACACCCAGCTTGCTGACCGGACTTTTCTCTGCTGCAGTTACACAACACAGCACAACACTTCCTTCTCTAAGGTCATTGCCAATGTATTTCCTCCTTGGCATTGTGTTAACACACACCTGAATGCTCCAGACCAGCAAACTGCTAAGGCCTCGTTCACACCAGACACAGCGTGTTCCGGCCCGATTCTGACCAGAACGCACTGCGGCCGGCTCACTATGTTGTGGGACAGTAGGGGGCGTGGCGTGCGATCGGCCGCACGGGAACGCAGACCACATTATGCCTGCGGTCCGGTCAAAATGCTGCAAGCATTATTTTGATCGGACCAGACTGCAGGAATAATGTGCCCTGCGTTCCCACGTGGCCGATCACATTGCGGCCAGAGGGTTCACTTCACTGGACCGCAATGCCCCCTCCTGCCCCACAACATATTGAGCTGGCCGCAATGAGATGCAGTGCGTTCCGGCCTGAATCGGGCCGGAACGCACTGTGTCCGGTGTGAACGAGGCCTAGAAGGGCATTTGATTAGCAGCACCTAGCTTCTGCTTGGCCTCTTAAAGGAGAACTATGAGGTGAGTGCTTTTCACTCACCTCATAGTTCTAGCCGACCTGTGACAATGAGACTGTCACAGGTGGGCTCAGTAGATCGGGAGGTGAGCGAACACATACCGGCATTCGCTCACCTCTCGATCCTGTCACGGCTCTTTGCCGTGACAGGGGAGGGGCTGGATTCCCCCCTCCCCGCTCCAATCCTCCAGCGCTGACTGGCGGAACGGACGGGGGAGGTACAGCTGTATCTGCCTCTAGATAGGCAGAGCCAGCTGTCAGTCACGCAGCTGGGCGGATCCCGGCACAATTGTCGGGATCCGCTTCAGCTGCGGCGTCTCAGTATACCGCGAGCTACAGCTCGCGGTATACTGAGTCTAGGGTGACGGGAGGACGCTAGTTTGTGTCCTCCCGTTACCCTAAGGAGAACTATGGGGAAAAGACTTAACCCCATAGTTCTGCTTTAATTCCTATGGAAGCAGTAAAGCTGGCCATACACATAGATTTTCTTGCAGATTTTCTATGGTCAGATGGCAAAAGTGTAACAGATTCCTCCATCTACGCTAAACTTAGTGAATGGAGGAATCTCCTACTGGGCCAAGCTTCAGTATCTTACTAGTCGGCCCCGCTGGCTCTCAAAATACCCAAACAGTGCCTGTATCTAATAAGATTGTTCAGGTATTTTGACAGCCAGCGGGGCCAACTAGCAAGATACTGAAGCTTGGCCCAGTGGGAGATTCCTCCATCCACACAGTTAAGTGTAGATGGAGGAATCTGTTGCACTTTTTCCATCTGACCATAGAAAGTCTGCAGATAATCTATAGGTGTATTCTACATCTTTTAGCTGCCGCTGACTGACAGTCAATAGACATACTACACAAAGCAGCGCAGCAAAATGATGTTTTAGCACAAAAAAAGCATATTGGTCCAATGGGTTAAACAACCCTAAAAATCAAAGCAAATGGAAAAACGCACCTATACTGACCTTAGGACAGAAGTCAACACTAAAATATACAGAGAAGTGGCTGTTATGGGGAAACATCTCCATTTTACCTACAAGGCCCTACATGAACTTCAGCAAGCACAGAAAGTTCCAACAACCAGCATTAAACTAATACCATCATCAGCTCTGATATGAGAGTGGTTTCTATGATTTATTATTATAATTGTAACTTGGAATGGTTTATGGGTCATTTAATAGGAATACACATTTCCTTTGCATCTGGTATCTTAAAAAAACAATAAAAATCACCATGACATAAATCAGAATTATTTTTGCTATCTGTGTTGCAATATCAGCCTAAATAGCCTTTGAAAAAAAATCACCGGGATCATGTATTTAATTGCACGATCTTTCGCAATGCCTCATTTAGCATCAGAGCTGGGAACATATAGCACCAGGCAAGGAAAATAAATTATACTCTGATTACCTGTTACAGACAGGGAAGCTGGATGGAGCCAAGCACTAAATTTAGTGTTAATGAACCAGTTCTTGTAACTAATGCTTGGTCCCTTTAGCCAAAACAAGGTAACGGGTCTGGAAAGTAACAGTACACCTTTATGTAATGAATAGGTATAAAGAATTATTATAAAACCAGTTACAGGCCTGAGCAATTCAAACTGAGCAAATCATAAAAAGTACACATAAAACAGAGACTACCGTCACTACAAATTCCAAAACTAACAGCAGATGCAGAGGAATACGCAGACCACAGTTTGTGCAAACATCTTCTGTAAAGGTCTAAACAGTTGTGCCTCCTTCCATCTCTTAGGGCCCATTCTGTGTGGTGCCCCGGCACAGTGCCGAAGCTCTGATCCCAGAGCACAGTGGTATGCAAGACGGTTTTACTGCGTCACATCCTGCTGCATTGAAAGAAAGTAAGGCAACGTGGTGGTGTTAATGCACACCATCCGTGACAAGGTAAATTGACTTGTCTTGCGTTGGGGCTGTACTGGAAACAACGGCCATCGCAGCTCCAATGCAGATGGTGAATTGACTCTTAAAGGAGAACTATGGGTTCAGTGTTTTTCCCCATAGTTCTCCTTGGGGTAACGGGAGGACACAAACTAGCGCCCTCCCGTTACCCTAAGCTCAGTATACCGCGAGCCTGCCGCACCTGGAGCGGATCCCGACTTAGATGACGGGATCCGCCCAGCTGCGTGAGTGACAGCTGGCTCTGCCTATCTAGAGGCAGAGCCAGCTGTACCCGCCCCCTCCCCCGTCCGTTCCGCCAGTCAGCGCTGGCAGATCGGAGCGGGGAGAGGGGAATCCAGCCCCTCCCCCTGTCATGCCAGAGAGCCGTGACAGGATCGAGAGTTGAGGGAACCCGGTATGTGTTCCCTCACCTCCCGATCTACTGAGCCGACCTGTGACAATCTTATTGTCACAGGTCGGCTTAGAACTATGAGGTGAGTGGAAATCACTCATGTCATAGTTCTCCTTTAAACCTCCATATTGACCCTTTAGAGTAGAGGAACACCCAAGCTGAATGACATTTGGTTTGCTACAACACTGTTTATCTGAAACAATCGCAATTTTTCAAGAACATTAATTTCTACCTTTTTTTTTTTTTTATATACTTTGTTGCACCTCAGTGCTACTGATCTCCTGTAACCACCTAATGTTTACATACATGTACTACAGCAATCGCAGCATGGCATTTCTCATGACTGGTTTTCCTGATGATGATAGCAGTGGCCCACACCTGGCATGTGTGTTGAAATAGCCACTTGTCTTCAATGGTAGCCTGTGATAATGCAGGAGACAAAATGTTGTCACCCTAGAACAGGAAGTGCCTGCACAGGGAATCACATGGTCGGTGCCTCAGGTATTTTAACAAAAGTTGCAGACTTAACAATAGTGAAAATACCTTTTGAAATTACCTTAACATATTATAAGGAGAAATGGCCTTCCACTAGTTAAAAGTGCTCCTCCGGCAAAGTCCTACACACTTAGCCTGCCAGTGAAATCCATGTAATGTTGCCTCTTGTGATGGTGTGGCAATGACGCTTCATTGCTCCTGAATTCAGAGCAGAGTTGCCACTCATGTAGGCTGGGCCTGCTTGCCCTACATTGACATGAGAATTTATTGCAGGGGGCATGATTATCCACACCGTAACTGCTGATTCACAAGCATGTAGCTCGTCAGTCAACACCTGACCACAAATAATCCTGCCATCTGCTTTCTGGACTGACAGCATTGCCTCTGTCGCCGAAACCCTCCACCTGTGAGCTGCAGTGTCTGGGAGGGGAGCATGTGAGACACAGATGGAGCAATGGCTTAGTTAGGAAAGCTAACAGAAGTTTTTTCTTTGTTTACTTTAGGAGGCTTGTGCATGGCATAATAAATGGAGTAAGTGCTTGCTTAATCTTTCATACAGGAGCCTTTAGTTGAACCTTAAATGAGAATTTAGTGACTGGGTTTACATATACTTTAATAAGATGGATGGTCCCACTGATCAACAGAAAAGCAAGGGACGTTGGTTAGCAGCTGTGTGCATTAGAATGCCATGACTGAGAAATAAAAGCAAGAATTTGGTGTCTGTGCTGACCCAACTCAAAAATCACAAGAAACCAGTGGGAGACCTGAATTATTTTTGCTCCACTCCCCCCCATCCCCTCGATGAAGGACACCTCAGACAAGCTAAGGTGAAAAAGTGACCATAAACAGTATACATTTTTCTATAAGCATAGGACAATAGTATAGGGAACCAATAAACAGTGGTCTAGGAAGATGTTTCTATTTAAGTCTATGGCTATTTACCACAGTAGCAGCACATTAAGGGGTCAGACAAGGAGTTGAAGGTTGTAAAGCCACACAAAGGGCAGGTCGTGGCTGATTTGGAGAGTAGCTGGAGTATGGGGGTGATCCCATAACTGTTTAGGAGGGGCTTGGAAATCTGAATGAATGCACTTTGCATGCTTATTCTTTACATTTTCTTTGCAGTAGCTCCCTTTTATCGTAGCTGACTATAATAAAGATGCTGTTGTGGTCCTGTGACCCTGACTTGCCTTCTGCATGAGTACATCCACAATACATTAGCAGCAATCCAGAAGACATGACAGGAGATCAAAGGACAAACTTTGTCTCTACAACCACTGATTAAGAATAACTTGCATTATGGTAATTCAAATCCAAAAACAGCTTTGCAAGAGAAAATAAGACTATTTTGCACACAAGAGGATTAAATCAAGCAGCACATTTTATCTTGAGAAAGATGCACTTCTGTTGAATTTGACCTGTGACTACGTTCATACTTCAAATGTCGGCTTCAAGAAGTACCTGGGTCTTATCATTTAAGCATTTTAAATGCTTTTGCAGAGTTAACAATAAACTTTACGATTAGGATCTAACTGTTGTAGTCTCCCATTATTGCTTAAGGGTTATTAATACAGGAATGGGTTACACACAGGTTTGCAAGTATGATGTTACCGTTTAAGGCATATCAGAAGACATACAGAAGGTGCATGAGTTCTAATCCAAAGAAATATTCCAATAGTCACCACACCAGTGACTGTGGAGGAGTAAAGTATAGTATATAAAGAAAGAAAACTTTGATCAATCAAATCCCAAGTCCCCAGGGTTGGGTGAGATGGATTTCCCCAAGTAGAAGCTTACAATGATGGGTCACCTGCAACTCATCCAATATACCCAAAAGGCAGATAAAGGAGTTACATGTGTTGGGGAAGCCCGGTGCCATCTCTAAGAACCTGTTATATCTGAACACTAGCCTCTCTGTTATATCTGAGCAGTCCCAAAAGGAGTGGAAGAAACCTGCCCTCAATCCACAGTTCCTAATATAAAGAGCAGTGAGGGCCTAAAGCCTACTTCATGAAGAGCTACTGGTGTGTGGAAGATTTGGTGAAACTTTTTACTTGGGAGGATTGCTAGGAGGAAGCACAAAACTTCATCCAGTCATCCATTGTTTAGTTAAAGTGACATTAAAGTCAGCGGCACATCTGTCACTGTCAGAATACTTAGCTGCAGCAGATGATTCGTCAATCCATGGTGTGGTTTAGTGTGGATGGAGGAATCTGTTGGATCGTTTCTGTTCAGCCTGCAGGCTGTATGAAAAAATTATCTAACAGCGTATGGCAAGCTTAAGTGATGACGCAAAGTATTGTTTTCAAATTAACAGCCGTACAAATGTCCAAATACAACCAGTCAGCTCTTTTATCATTCCTCCGTAAAAAGAAAGCAGTCAATGTACCTGTTCAGTACTCGACTTTCTTACAAACCATATTTTAGCACCCTAGTCATTCACTGCATCACAATCTTTGATGGTAGAGCCTATGCAAATGTGTGAAGAGCTTTCCAAATATCTTAGTAAATCACTGCATAGGATAACAAACATTATCCTGCTCATTATCAGTGTGTGCAAACATCTATTAAGGAAAGCTTGCATTTACTGTGCAAGGTACAGTTATATTAGTACTAAACAATCCACGCCAGAGTGAAGTTATCAATTGCTAAGCAATATATTAATTTCAAGGACAATAGGAAATATTTATTTCTACAATATCCTAAAAAGGAAAATGTTTCATGAATTAAGTCAGAATGTTCTATGTGCCTAGTACCAAAACTAATCTTTTAACAGATGGACAATACTATAGCCAAATGGATCCCACCCGTTACTTCAAATCAACAGAGACTTAATAGCATGTTTGCAGGATATGTAAACGGAACAGTTTTGACTTATTTGCTCGGTCTTATCATATTACTTGGATTTTTTCATTTTACATTTAGCAGCGATGCACAGTGACAGATCAAAGTGCTCGAGGGGACCTTTCATCCCCCCTGCTGGGAGGTATAATTACCAGACCATGACTTAAATCCCCGTCCTTTTATCTGTGCACTAGGAAAAAAGTGATTAAATTAGCATTTCCTGCGCTGTCAACAGTGGGGAAAGGTTTGATCGCGGGCAAAGACGCTATGCAAAGAACAATATAATACAGCTTTGCTTCTCTTGTAACATTTCACAAAGCACAACTCTCAAGGGACATTAAAGTAACTGGAAGGTCTTCTAATAGATTCTAAATATAGACTGAATGTTACAATCACTAGCTAGATGATCTGCACATGCTGTTTAACAACTGGAGATAGCTATTCAAAAGATAAAGCAACATCTACCAAAAAAAGGTAAATTCCCAACACAGTTTGGAAGTACAATGGAGTCTTCCCTGGACCATAGCTCTTGGGCTTTATCAGGAGGGACAACTATAGATTTTTCTTGCAGCAGCACCTGCTGGTCAAATCTGACAAACCATCAAGACCCTTACATACAATGCAACTTATGGAGACACCAGATTTTCTCAGGCCTCATTCTCGCAAGTTATATTAATCAATGGAGAAAAGGAAGTGGGGGGTCCGCTATCATTTACAATAGGGGTTTCAAATTTTCTTGGAAATCCACCATAAAAATATCAGTACACTTGGACTATTAAACTTTACAGTGATATTAAACACTTCTTATTTTTTAATTACACAGAAGAGATCCACTTGTACCTGTGTAGCTTGTTTTCCCCTTCCCATTTAATTTTTTTAAACTTGATATACCGTGGCCCCCTCCCCTCCTGTGACAGACAGCAGGAGTTTTTAAGCTGTTACAAAGTGACTGAAACACCACCACCAGTCTTTTTTTCTGATCTATGAAGATCTTGGAGAATGACTTTCAAGCCACCTATTACTTATTTTTTTTTACTGCTAATAATATGTAAATAGTCCATAGTCTGGCTACAGGTGCACTTTTTTGTACAGTATATATATATTTGTACACACTTTTAGAGTACCTAAGGCAACCCCCCCCCTGCTATTCCAGTCAATAGATATACCCCACCACCACATATAATTGTAGGACCCCATTTAAAGAGCAGCTTAGTTATTTTTCAAAGCCCACAGCAGCAAGATCCCTATAATAGATGTGTGATACGTTTTAAAGCAATTATTTTTACTGCTGGATGTTTGAGGCGTTTGCCCAATAAGAATGGATAAGGGAATTTCATGGATGATGTTCTTTGTATGGACCAGTGTTAGTACCCTTTATAATTTGGCAATCAGTCAAGGACAAATACAAGGGGCATAAACTGGATGGCACCCTAGTCCAAGGCAGCATTTGTTAAAAAAAAATAAAGCCAGGGAATGACAGCTGCCAATGGCAAGATTCCGCAGATGGCAGCTGAATGTAAATACAGCAGGTAATGGGCTAGTGCAATAACCAGCCTGCTGTTGGCCATTTCAAATTGCAATAGCAGGCTGGCTATTGCACCTGCCCACTGCTTGCTGTGCCCAACCCCCGGCATGAAGGAGAGAGCTGGGGGACCCAACCAACTAATCGATAATGAGAATAGTTGACAACTATTCTCATAATCGGTTATTATCAATTATTCGATTAGTTGATTGCAGCCTAGTAAAAAGCAAAAATATTTTAGTCCAGAAACATCACTACAGCCTAAAAATGAAAGAAGTGAGAGCTAGGAACACCAGTGAAGAAATCTTTGTGGCTTGTGGAACCCCTGGGGAACGGAAAGTATATTTTACATAAGATGAGGTTGTGTGATACATTGTGGAAGGAAGGGGCGAGAATCGCATGCTCCTGCATACCTGGGAGGTACCAGGATCTTCACAAGGTGGTTGGGGAAGGAACCCTTCTGTTAATAGTTAGGGTATTATGTATGTGAGATAGGGGCCTTAGATTGTAAGCTCCTTGAGGGCACGGACTGATGTGAATGTGCACTATGTAAAGCGCTGCATAAAAATTGTGGGCACTATTTAAATACCTGAAATAAAATAAACAGAAAAATCATTATCAATGTACAAGGATGTGCATACACTTCCCAGTAAGCAATGCCCTAAGTCTCCATTCTTGTACCATGCACTGCACTAAAAAGACCTTTATCTTTTTCTTGTTGTTAAAAGAATTACCTGGGACCCATTTTACTTCCATTTCCACACCCTTGTCATCCTGATTCTTCTCCTTTTCTTGGATGATCTTGACCAGCTCCCTGTAACGAGCAATCTGCTCCTCATCATCCTTTGGCCCCTTTTTAGATGTCACATCTTCATTCTCTTCATTGTCTAAAAAGGTCAAACACATTTGCAATCTGGTAAAACAATAATCCATTCAGCATAAACCAGCAAAAACAAACACAATGCATGACACCTACATTAAACAGGAACTCCAGGATTTCCAAAAGTTAGCCCTTGCAGTGGGGTAACCCTGCACTGCAATGGTTAACTGCTCGTTTTGGTCTAGGATCGCAAATAAAGAAAATATACCTACCTGATCCTTGATCTCCCCCGACTGCTACACCGATAGACATGAAGTTGCTGAGGGTAACACCACAGCCGGAGCAGAGGGAGAGAGATGTGAGCTCCCTGAGGGAAATCCCTGGCGGTCAGCGGGGTCACCAGAACCAGTGTACCGATTGGAAGATTTCCCATCTATTTCTGTTCCGATGACAGCCCACAAATTGGGATTTTCTTTCACTTTCAGAGATAATGGTCAACAGGACCAATAAATCTCAACAACAGGAGCAAAGCAAATAATAACAACTTGACAGGTGTTTGAAGCCTTCTCCACTTAAAAAAAAAAAAAAGTTTTGGCTTCAGTTTCACTTTAAGACCTCATTCACACACGAATTGGCCAGCGCGTACAGCTCCGTGCTGCGTGCGGAGCCGTACCAATCACACACAGGGGCTGCGTGTGATTAGTACGCAGCTCCCGTCCTTCTCTATGGGGCTACGCGGCCGTACGCCCCCCTGCGCTCACCTCAATTGCAGGTCCGTAGGGGTGCAGGTTTTCTGGCCGGGACGCATACAGGATCCATTCCGTCGGCGTATGAATACGATCACCCGCACCCCTACAGACCTGCAATTGAGGTGAGCGTAGGGGGGCGTACACATGCAGCCCCTGTCCTTCCCGGCAGCTACTTGGTACGGCCCCGCACGCAGCACGGAGCTGTACGTGCAGGCCAATTCGTGTGTGAATGGGGCCTAAAGGAGAACTCCAGGAAATGTTTTTATTAACCCTTGAAGTGGTGCAAGGGTTAAGTGCTCATTGGTGTCTAGGTTAAATGCGATATAGATGCGATGAAGCTGAGGAAGAGTCCAATGCTGCAGTGGAGGAGGAGACAGGCTGCAGGGAGCTCTTTGACAGCTGGCCTGCTCCGAGTTTCAGGCGAGTATATCTTTGTTATTTTTGTCCCTAGACACAAACGATCACTTAACCCTTGTGAGTGTGGGGTTAAGAAGAAGTTTTCCTAGATTTGTTCTTAAACCACTTCTGGGCCGCAATACGTCTATAGACGGCAGCCCGTTAATGTGGTTAGTTCTTGGGAGTTGCTTTTAACAGCCAGCGATGACTGTTAATGTACAAACGATCCGGCGTCTGTACAGCCGCCGGATCGTTTGTACAGTGCGGCGGCGCCCCCCCCCTCCCCCCCCGGCCGCCGTTGTCTTCCCCGGGCACCGCTGTCCCCGTGCGGTGCCCGGGAGCGGCTCAGCGGGTCTCCCCGCAGTGATCGGAGAGATTCAGCGGCTTCCAGCCGCTGATCTCTCCTCTCATCACTGGACCAGGAAGTGATGTGTATTACATCACTTCCGGTGTCACTGTACACAGTCTCCCGCTCTTAGAGCCAGGAGATGAAGCTGGGGAAACATATCTCTGCTTCCTCAGCTTCATTGGGGTCCCTAGGTGACATTAGGGGTCTGAAAGACCCCTGATGTCTCCATAAAGAGGACCTGTCACACCCTATCTGATATTACAGAGGGGGCTTATTAGCTCCCTCTGTAATAGCAATAGGGTTAGTGTAAAAAAAAAAAAAAAAAAAAAAAGGTTTTAAAATTAAAAAAATGAAAAAAAAAAAAAAAAAAAAAGTGTTTCAAAGTTATAAAAATGAAAGTAACATAAAAGAAAAATGTAAAAAAAAATGTTGTAAGTCCCCCGCCCCCCAGGTGCACGCACATACACACGCAAACACGCGTAGGTGCGCCTACGTGCTAAAATGACAATTGCACTACAAATGTTACATATCGCTGCGAACGTCAGAGTGAGAGCAATAATTCTAGCGCTGTCAATCACTGTTAGCACTAAACTGATGAGCGGTAAAAGCGTTTAAAAATGTTCCCTATGGGAAATTTTGGGTATTGACCTTTTGTTGCGGCTTCACGGGCGAACGCAATTTTAAGGCTTGACATGTTTGGTATCTATTTACGCGGGATGACCCCGTCCTTTATATTTTACCAAAAAATTGGGCATTATATTATGTTTCTGTGCGCTAAATTTTTATTTAGTTTATTTTTTCCTAAAAATACTGGTTTGATAAACATTTGCGCAAAAACCGTGTGACGTAAAAAATTGCAACTAGCATTTTTTTATTCTACAGGGCCTCTGCTTTCAGAACATATATAATTGTTTGGGGGGTTGAAGCTGCTTTCTAGCCAAAAATTTATATTTGATCATGTGTGCGAAAATAGTAAGAAAATGCCCCGGACAGCAAGTGGTAGAAGGAAACCTGTGCCAGAAGAAGTATGATGACCTCCTCCTGAAAGTGCTTATTGGATTGATTTCTTTAACTTCAATACTTCCCGAGTCACTGACTGGAATCAACCATGTCAACCTTGTGAAATCAGAAGAAAATCAAAACTCGTTACTGCATACTTGATTTGGGTCAGTGACTAACAATAGTATGAAGAATTTGAATACGTTACAGGTAACTAGCATTTTCAATAGCCCTCCTATTTTCTAAATACAGGTTTCACTGGCTACACCTCTGCAGGAGGTCTTTTAACATAAGTATGGGTGGATTCAATTAACCAACCTGCCGAGAGTTCCTCTTCCTCGTCTTCACTGGAAGATGCTAAATATGCCTGAAAATCCATGTCGAGGATCTCATTTTTTTTGAACGGTCTGTTTAAACTCATGACCCTTTCCTGATCAGTCTCATCCCAAGTCAGCTCTACCTGAAGAAAAAAAAACCACATATGACTAACAAAAAAAAGTGACCACTTATAATAAAAAACCCAAAAGTCTTTCAAAATAGTACATATTTGGCTCAGTGCAGCACTGGGGTCCTTGGATCGAGTCTTGGTCAGGACACTATCTACATGGTGTCTGCATGGGTTACACTCCAAATACATGCCGATAGGTTAATTGGCTCCTGTCTAAATTGGTCTTAGTATGTGTCTGCATGTGAGCTAGGGACCTTAGATTGTAAGCTCTTTGAAGGCAGGGACTGATCTGAATGAATGGGGTGTAAAACTGCAAATTGACAGCGCTATATAAAAACCTCTAGTAAATAATAAATATTAGGGTTAAAAATAAAAGTAATTGTTGTTGCCCCTTATAACTGGCTGATTCAGTGCCATAAACCCTAATCATCATTTTTATACTGCCCATGCCTGTACACTGGAAAATGTGTTGATAGCAGGGACGGAGAGGTAGATAGGTATGTATTTTCATTCTATATAAAATAAGGCATACTGAAAATCCATATAGATGTGTATGCTCTTCTCCCATCCATATGGTGAGCTTGCCAAGATACATTCCCATTTAAAACAATGTCTTCTTTCAAGGGCAAAAACACAGCTTTGGGTTAAGCTTCACAGGTTATGCTGCCAAAGCCCAATGCTGGGCTAAGGTTGTCTTTGTGGACCCAGGCCTAATTTGCTTCTTGGCTTACACCAGGCTCTATATGTACATGAAGTGCAGTGAGGTGCCCTCATATCAGAGAGAGGTCATAAAACAAAACAAAAAAAACCCAAGTGATTTCTCCATACCTTGGACGTTGCATTGGCTGCAGAGGTAAAGAGCTTGGGTTTGTAGGCAGAAATATCCATATCCACAGCTGAGTCCTTGGGTTCATCATCAAACTGTTCATCATCAGGAATAAACCTGTCAAGTGCAGCAAAGACCAGAGACTCACATATTGGTTTGCACATGCAATATAGACTGAATTGTAATATATGTAAAGTGCATTGACGCATAGCACAACAATGATTGTAGTCAGATCTGATGAGAGAGAAATTCTGATTGGATGCTATGTGCTACCAAGCTTTCCACAGTCATTACAGCGTGCATTAGGTCATCAAATATAAGGCACTACGCACAAATGAGTTAATGTAACAACATCATGCAAAGAGATACGGTGTGTAGTTCCTTTATAGTAAGCAATTGGCTGCTATTGATAGTTGTACTTCACAAGAATAGTTTTCCAGACACAAGATCTGCTGATAATAGCCAAGTATCATGTTTAACAACAGCAACAGAACTAGGGATGAATTAAAGCACACTTAAAAGGAGAACTATGAGATGAGTGCTTTTCACTCATCCTCATAGTTCTAGCCGACCTGTGACAATGAGACTGTCACAGGTCGGCTCAGTAGATTGGGAGGTGAGCAAACACATACCGGCGCTCGCTCACTTCTCGATCCTGTCACTGCAGAGAGCCGTGACAGGGGAGTGACCGGATTCCTCCCTCCAGCTGTGGGGAAAAGCCCTAACCCCATAGTTCTCCTTTAATGCCTTTGTTCATGCCTGAGTTGGCTCTATATTATGGTAAAATGCTTTAAAGTGACACTAAACTCAGAAATGAAATCTTAACAATCCATTCAGGTACTGAAACTATTAACAAGACTGCACGGTATTTCCGCATCATTCAGCAGTAGATCCTAAAATCATCTCTGAATTGGTGCTGACACTGTCCTTCCTTCTGGAGGGTGGCTACTTTGGTTTCCCATGGTCTCTGTGTGTGTTGTAAAGTAGTCACCGCTCCAAGCTCGCTCCCATGATGGACTACATTCTCAATATAAATTAGAAAAGGTAATGCAAGATTGTAGTCCATCATGGGAATGAGCTTGGAGTGGTGGCCACTTTACAACAAACACATGGACCATGGGGAAAAAAGTAGAAGGAAGGAAGGACAGTGTCAGCATCAATTCAGATATGATTTGAGGATCTACAGCCGAGTGATACACAAATAAGATACATTTTTTGTTAATAGTTTAGGTACTTGAATGGATTTTTAAGATTTAACGCTTGGCTTTAGTGTCACTTATATACTGCCATTTTAGGTGTTATGGGCTTTACACTTACACGCATGGCCTATTAAAGACAATGGATTTCAGATTGTCATTGCATAGGGCCTGCATTGAACAATGCAGCCCAATGCCCTAAAGCTGGTCATACACCTCTAGATTTTTGGCAGATTTTCTATGGTCAGATGGAAAAAGTGCAACAGATTCCTCCATCTACGCTAAACTATGTGGATGAAGTAATCTTCCGCTGAGCCAAGCTTCAGTATCTTGCTAGTCGGCCCCGCTGGCTCTCAAAACACCTAAACAATGCCTGCATCCAATCAGATTGTTCAGGTGTTTTGAGAGCCAGCGACTAGCAAGATAGTGAAGCTTGGCCCAGTGGGAGATTCCTCCATCCACACAGTTTAGCGCAGATGGAGGAATCTATTGCACTTTTTCCATCTGACCATAGAAAATCTGCAGATAATCTATAGGTGTTTGGCCAGCTTTAGGCTTCTTGTTCTGAACAGAATGTAGCCAGGTAGGCGTGGCTTAGTCCAAAACGCCGGGTAGCCAGACTCCTAGTAACAAAGTCAAAATACATCAAAGGGGCACACTAAAGATGTTTTTCTGCCTAATAAAAGGTAACAGCAAACACTATGTTACAGTACTTTTCATTTTCAGTTGAGGCTACCTAAAGCCACGGGATGGCAGACATGTGTAAGAGACCATCTATGTGTAATAAGTGAAAATGAGAATGCTTGTCTACTGAAGCGTTTGCACACTACTGCACATTTTGGTACCAGTTTCGCTAAGGGTGAAATGATAATATTCTTTGTATGTATCCACCCCGTCCTCATCCATCTTAAAGAGGAGCGGCGCTGGATCGCTGAGTCTGCACAGTCTCTGTAGTTGCATTGAAAAGTTGAATTTGTGATTTAGTAATAAATAGCCAGAATACACAGGTGAAATGCAGTGGGCTACAGATTTAGTAATAACCTCATAACTACATTCTTAGGTCATTTTCTGCTTAGCATGTATGGTTGGAGTTCATCTTTAGGAAAACTGTAGCACTACACACAGTCCAAGGAAATTAAAATGATCACAAAATGTTCACACATTGTTCTAGGATATGAATATATGAATATAGGATATGAATGCTGATGAAAGCTATTTTATCATTGTATTTTACCTGAGATCCACAAAGGAGCAGCTACTTTCAAACTCCATACCATCACAATCCTCGTAAATTTTATTGGCTGTCTCTGGGGTGTCGCATTCTACCACTGCATAGAAGTACTTCAGCCGCTTGAATTGATATTCCCGCAGTTTCTCCTTATAAATGCTGAAAAGAGCAAACATAACAGACCAGCATTCTACTTAGCTTGTGGTACTCCTGAATACAAATGAAGACAACTTTATTTTTAATGCCACTGACAGCAGTAAAATTACATAGCACCATAAATAATACAGCCATACCCCATTTCTGGCAGACACATTCTTACAAATGTGAGTTAAAGGAATCTTCTACTGAGAAACATATGGGGACTGTCATTGCTGACCTTGTAAATATACTAGTTGCCTGGCTGTCACATTAGTCTCCAAGGATTAGAAAGTCGGAGTTAAGCCAGAACTCCTGATCTGTGTGCCTGTTCCATGTCAGTAGAACAGAATGTCACCAGCACACCAAACAATGTGGTCAAGTGTCCGTCCTTTATTGACGCATATTGCCACATAGAAGCACCGTTTTGGGGCCGCGCACGGTCCCCTTCATCCGTCACATTGTGTCTGATGAAGGGGACCCTGCACAGCCCTGAAATGTTGCATTTATGTGACAATATTCGTCAATAAAGGAAGAACACTTGACCACGTTGTTTGGTGCGCTGGTGACATTCTGTTCTACTTTTGTTGCCTGCGGTGCCATCCGCTGTCATTACAGCACCCACCTTCAGGGGTTCTTCGGTAAGGATTGTGGCTGGACATCCTAAGCACTTTGCTCCATGTCAGTGCCTCAATGTTCTTAAAACAGAACTCCTCTGCAGCAATGCTATGTCATCCTCATGTCTTATACACTGTGTATAGAATGTGATGTGATGACTCAAGGATCCTTAGACTGCTGCAGTGGGGGGGGGGGGGG